TATATATATATTATTACAACAGGACCACTGCATAGTAATATTATAATATTTGAATTGTTTTCGACAATATGTGGGGTTTCAGGGGGGCCTGCACCCCTCCCTCCCCTCCTGACCTAAAAAATCTGGGGGGTATCCATAATTTGATATTTTGCTTTCAGGTTGATATTTTCTTGAAAAAAATTGATTTGTGAGGGTTCTAGTGGTCATATGTTGCATTCTGCAGCAAAAATTACGCCAGTTTCACCCCTCAAAAAGGAGCATCTGTGGGCGGTTCTAAAAGTACAAATTTACCATTTTAAATGTTTTTAGAGTGAGTTTTTTAAACCGAAAAACACGTTTTTGTCAGTTCAAGTTTATAATTAATGTACATTATTTTGTAGATCTATATGTGAGTGTGTTTCTAGATGTAACAACAAACAAAAATTTGTGCTCTTTAACATTTAGTAAGTTGTTATATCGGTCTTTGCACACTCAGTGTTGGGCTTTACTGTTTTTGGGTTTTTTTTTGTGAGTCTAGATCTCCTGACATAGGAACTGTGTTGTTTGCTAAGTGGGCAGTGTATGGGCTGGAGTGTCGTGTTGGATGACTGAGAGATCCTGATTTTTTCTTTGTGCTGTTCGGCACCGTGAAGACGGCGCTGTTGTTGCGGCCTCATTAACTGTGGTCCTAAATCTTGATTTAAGTCCTGTGCTTACTGCTCAGCACCTCACACTGATGAAAGAAACATTCTCATGCACCCCATGCATGCCTTGAGCTGCTACTTTTGAGAAACGAAACGATTTGGCAGATGCAACAGCAAAATCTGCCTCTCTTGAACATGGCTGGTCACTTGAGACTGTCCTACTATTCTTTGCCCATTCCGGACATTTCAAGTCGGCTAAAATCTTTGCATAAGTCGAGAACAGTACAAGCACTGCATTTTAGCTGTATTGCTTCTTCTCCGGCAGATTTTCCACCATGAACCATGCAGAAGCAAAAGTTGCAATCAGCTTCGCTAAGTTGAGGAGTCTTGTAATTATATAAGAAATTTAAAAAATTGATCGAAAAAAAGCTAGGACTTTTGTTTGGAATGAGCTACGGTTCATCTTCCAGGTAAAAAATTGTGTATTCTTTTGTAATATAGCAACTAATGAACACATCTTACTAAAGCATAGTTTACTGTATTGTGATGAAAAGTACTCATGGAAATAACAAAAATTGTGTCTGGGTGTGTGGACTAACAACTACTCACTTGTGTCTCCAAAAATCGTGATGATCAGAGCATTATATTGGGCTTTTTAATAAATAACCTTTTGAAAATGTTGCGTTTTTAATGGCGTTCAGTATATATATATGTGAGGCATGGTGGTGAAATCAGGTATTTGTCGAAATACATGTAATGAAATCCGAGAAACTTGCTTCTTTCGGCCAGTTTGGAAATTTTTGTCGGATTTTTGTTTCTTGGCGCAACACCTTGTATCTCCGTTCAAAAACACTTTTATGTGTGGGTTTTATGGAAAAAGGTTGATTAAAGGCACAACAAATTTTTAATTTGCAGTTTCCAAGGACTCTTAAGCTATGGAACTCACCAAACTTTGACAGCCATTTTCTCGCTAATTTTACCTCTGAAACCATGCGATTCCCATCTCCTTCAATCGCAAATATCTCGACTTCTATTCAAAATAAATGGATAATTTTTTCTTCGAAAGCAACTGAAATAAACAATCTTTATGATGATACCAATAACTCCATATGTCCAAAAAAGATGAGCACCTGATTCCACTGTGTCCTGACACATATATCTTATGCGACTAATCAGCAGCCTTCTTCCATACCAACACACAACACATGCGTTATTAGCACGCACACATGTCTTTACGTGTGTCGGGGTTGGACGGGCGGCCAACACATGTGTGACATGTGACTGTGTGTATATGTGTGTGTGTCGGTGGG